TTTTTTTTTTTTTTAATCTCTCCTGTTAACCAGCTGTGTAACCTGGAGCCAGTCAGTTAATACCATCATTTCTCATTTCTTCATTTGGAGAAGGAAGAAGTTAGAAACATAGCTCATCTCTTAGGTCCCTTCTCTTGACAAGTATCTCTGAGTCACTCGTGCATGTGTGGGTCCTGCTTGACTCATAAACGAGTCCATACACGCTATAGTCTTGGACCTGCTTCCTATTTGTGAAATGGGGCCAACATCCTATAAATTACCCAAAGGCAGGTAGACATGAGACCCACTTGGCTGCTTACATCTAGGAACCAACACCAAGCCGTTGGTGGTCAGCACAATGGCTCCTGCTCTTGTTGTTGTTGTTATGTGTCCTTGAGTCAGACCCGACCCACATCCCCTCATTCTGTTTTCATATAATCTGCCACTTGGTTAGTCTGAGGCTGGAAAATCTCCCTCCTCTCTCCTTGCCTCTTCTGCGTGAGCACTTGGCAATGGAAACCTTGTCCTATTTATGAGATTATTATTGGCCACCATGTCCTAGACCACCCACAATGGGCCTTTAACAACCCAAGTTTTTACCTGATGCTGTTAAAAATTTACCCGGAGTCAAATAACCAACTGGACAGTCTAAAATAAAAAAATCCAAAATTAACTACAACAAGGCTTCCTTTATAATTTCTAGTCCACGAGCCATTACGCCCAAGATGAATGATCATGTAAGTATAGAGTTGGAGAAGTAATGACAATGCAATTAATAATATTTATAAACTTCTCACACAGAAAATCTCACATGGACTAGTATTGGCTTTGGAGATAGTAATAGTATATATATTTCTGGGCAAGCTTATTCTTTTCATCAAAAAGTTATTTTGAGCTTTTATTTCTTGTCACCTTTTATTTCCTCATCTTTTAAGAAGATTGGATGTTAGTGGTTTATTTTAAAAGTAAGGAGCACTTTTAACTCTTGGGCAACTTAATATTTTAGTTTCTTGTAAAATAAATAAAGTTCTGTTTTCTGTGAAGGCAGGAACTTCTAGTAAACCTCTATATTGTTACTTCAAGCTTTATTGTGTCATCTGGAGCACTCTGGAGTTCTTGTTTCTTCATTGGCTTTAATAGAGTTCGAAGAGGGCTGGGAACATGACCAGTCTTGTCTTGCTTTAGGCATTTGCCTTCTTTTGCCATAAAAAGAAAACATGCCAAATTAGCATTCAGAGGAAAGTGCCTGGAGGAGATCCAATCCTCATGAAATGAAGGATATGTTTTGCCTCTGATTTGATTCAACAAGTAAAATTGGTTTTACTGGGTCAATAAACTCTGAGGGTAATAAGCATCTGGTAGAGTTTAAGGTTTCTGTGAGCTAGGTACATTCAGAGGTAAATGGCAGAGACAAATGCCAAGCATTTAAGGGGCACCTCAAACAGGCTTCGTTCACATGATTTTATTAAGCATGGCCAACAGTTTGTGGCTTGTTTATTCTAAGCTTGGGCCTTAGAAACAACAAGGTACAAAATCCAGAGAAGAGTCTAGAAGCATCCAAACTCACATAGACATCCAAGATCTCATTAGTGGGACCTTCCGCCAAAAAGGATTCTCCTGCAGTGCTCGAAATCTCATTTGGACGTTTGTAGGTGAACATCGTCCCTCCACCTTCATACTTTCCGGGCCGGTCAATTGCCCAGTTCCCGTTGATGATAGAGCGACCAGAACGACTTCTCAAGGCTGTTGAGAAAAATAAGACAGTTTCTTGGGTAAGTCCAGAATCTGTACAAGAAACTGAACTGAGTCTGCCAGCTGCTGGCTTATTCACTCATCAATTTTCCATTGGTGTCTGCTATGTTCCAGGCACTGATCTAGGCACTGGGGTAAGATTAGGCAGCTGTATCACACCTTCTCATGTGTAATCTTCAACCCATTTTGATCCCTTCCACCACTTGGACTCAGCATAGAAATAAAGGGTGGGGGTTGTTAGGAGAGAAGGGTGTGGAGAATGGGAAGGAAGGGGAGAAGGAGGAGGACTGTAAGAGGAGGGAGGGAAAGGAAACTAATTTATATTATATACCATTATCTCGGTGAGAGGTTGCACATTGGCAGCCCATGTGCTGATTTTGGCCCCAAGATGGGCTTAATTTGGCCATTGTGATTTTTTTTTTTTTTTAAATAATTGAGCCCAAATTTAAGAACTGAGAGATTTCACATAAAAATTTAGAGTTCTAGCTTCTCTTGTAAAACAGGAAAACATGTTAACATTGGCTCCACATTCCCTCATGGCAGCAATCAGCTGAAGCTGAGGAGAACTTCCCCTTTAGACAGGAGCTGCATGTTCCAGTTCACCTCACTCTCCATCACTGCCTATTATTCCCCAACACAGAGGCTACATCTCAGTTACTGTTTATTACCATGCTTGCACTGTTATTTTTCTTATAAAAGAGAAATTTTCCTATAATTCCGTTTACTCAGATCTCTATGAAAACTGGTAAAACTAGAGATAAACCAAAAGGGACACATGGTTTTCTTTGACCTGGGAACTAGACTCATTAGTATTACCTTCCTGTCTTCTGTGGGCATTTGAAGCTGTGACCTGTATACTTCCACATACATCATCAGAATTGATTCTCACAATACTATTCCCATGTTTCAGAGGGTGGCTCAGCTGAGGGAACTTGTTCAAGTTCATGAAGATGACAAGTGATGTGTAATTTGGAGCCCCACACCCAGGAGGGAGGTGAGAGAGGAAAGGAGGTGCAAGGAACAAGATGTAAGAGTTAATGGAAGAAATAGCAGTATAAGAGCAGACATGTAGCCATTAAACACTGGGATCCTTAAAACCTACCAGCCCATGGCTGATCCTGTTCAGGAGACATCCTGTTTTAAGTGCCATGTAGCATAGAGACCCTGTGATGCCACAGGAATTTTGTACCTTCACTTTACAGAATTCCAAATTTTTTATTTTACAATTTATTAGGGGAAAACTTACATATAAAAAGAAGTAGTGAGAACAGCATAATGAACCTCTGTGTTTGCATCACTCGGTGTCAATAATTATGAACTCACAGCTTATCTTCTTTCACTTTTCAAACCTCAGACTCTATTCACCCTTAAATTTCTTGGTAAATGTCTCTAAAATGTAAGAACTCTTTTTTTTTCACCCCTTAAATCCATTTTCAGCAGTGTTTCTAAATGGGTCTTTCCAGAGACCAGGCCTGCTGAGGCAAAAGCTGCAGGGAGGGGAAGAAGAGCCTCTGGTCTTGTGGTGGCCTCCCCCTGCAGATGGTCCTGGTGGGCTGGCTGGTTGCCATGGCTACTGGGAAACCACAGCTGTGGAGCCTTGAATATTAAGTTGTAAAATCAATTTAGCTTATTGGGCGGCAAAGAAGGGACAAGGGTAGAGATTGGGAAGAACATGTATAGCCACCTAAATATTTGGCTTTTCTCTATCAAAAACCACACTTCTTGAGAATATTCATAGACTGTCTCCCTTTCCTCACTTCCTACTCATTCCTTAGCCATTTCCAATCTGGCTCCTGCCCCCATCATTCTACTGAAACAATTCTCATTAATGTCAGCAAGACCGCCATGTTGCTAAATCCAATAGGCATTTTTCCTTCTCTTATTAAATGTCTCAGCAGCATCAGGTCCTACTAACTACTCCATCCTGTTTGAAACTCTTCCACTGGCTTCTGGGACACCATCGTTGGCTTACTTTCCTACTGCTCTCAGTCTACATGCTTCTGTTTTCTTTTCTGTCTCATCTTTTTCTACTCAGCCATTAAATGTTAGGACTCCTTGAGGGTTAATAGTAGAGCTCCTTCAGATATTGTACTCCTTTCGTGAGTAATTTCATCTATGCCCATGGCTTCAACTACTATACGCCAATGACTTTCAACTTTATGTTTTCAGCCCAGACTTTTCCTCTGGCACCAGACTTTATCTAATTGCTTGCATGACAGCTTCACTTGGACATCTTGTCACTTGGACAACTCATTTCTTGACCTCTTTTGGTGTTTTTTTGTTTTTATCTCAATAAATGGTACCACCATTCATATAATCAAAAACCCAGGACTCACCCTGGTCATCTCCTCCCTTCCTTATCCCCAATCTATCATCTAATTTTATTTTACCTCTTCAATATTTCTTGAACTCATCTGCTTCTCCTCATGTTCACTGCCATAATCCAGGTCCAGGCTACCATCAAATCTCACTTAGACTAAAAACAAACAAACAAACAAACAAACAAACCAAATCCAAACCTTCAAACCTGTTGCACTTGAGTCGATTCCAACATATGGCAACCCTATGTGTTACAGAGTAGAACTGCTCCATAGAGATCTCTTGGTAGTTCAACAGGTCTTTCTTCCATGGAGCCTTTGCTGGGGGGGATCCCAACTGCCAACTTTTAGGTTAGCAAATGATGCAAACCATTTATGTCACCTGTGTGACCATTAACCAGAAGGTTGGCGGTTCAAACCCACCAGCTGCTCTGTGGAAGGAAGATGGGGCAATCTACTTCCATAAAGATTTACTACATTGGAAACTCAATGGGGGTTGCTATGAGTCAGAATTGATAGCAGTGGGTTGGGGAGCTTTTACTTGGACTGAGTCCAATTAGTCTTCGTGTTTCTCTTCTTTTCAGTCAGAGTAATCTTTACAGAATGCAGATTTGATCCCCTCCTGTGGCTCAAAATCCTTCAATGGCTTTCCATGGTTCTAGAGAATCTCCACACCAAAACATTAGTTGAGCTGGGGTCCAGGTTTTTTAGCGTAAGCTCATCTTGTGTCACTGTGTTTCTTCTCACTGTGCTCTACAGTCTTCTTTTAGTTCATCTAATATATCACATTCCCTCTGCAATGCTGTTTCCTTTGCCAGGAATTCTCACTCTACCCCCAATCCTATTCATCGCTTAGATGTCAGCTTCCTGATTGCGTTTCCCGACACACCCTAGTCCAGCTCTGTGTCCTCTGTCACATGCTATCCCTTCAAGGCACTTAACTCAGTCTGTAGGCACACTCATGAGGGCCTTATTTGATTTCTGTTTGTTTCCCAGTACACTGTAAGATCCGAACGGGCAAAGACCTGGTGCTTCCTCATCATTACAGCTCTTGTGCCCAGCAGAGCATTCATCATATTATAGGAACTTAGTATATATTTGCTGAATGAAGAAACACATGGTAGATAAAGGCAAACAACTCAAAAGAAAAACAGGTAAAGATGATAAATAGGCAATTCACAGAAAACCAAGCACAAATGTTCCATGAAACAATGAAAATGCCCAACCTCACTAATAATTAAGGAAATGTAAATCAAAACACCAACACAGTACTCTTGACCCATCATATTTGCAAAAAGATAAAAAATAAATCCATAATGTCAGGACTGATGGGTGTGAGTAAGCAAACACCTGTGGCACTGCTGCTAGGACTGTAAATTGACTGAATTGTACTGGAGGGCAATTTATTTACATTGTTAAAACTTGAAATGCCCATGCACTTTGACCCAAGAATTCTACTTTTAGAAAACTACTAAAAAAATATTCTCCTGCAAATATACAAAGGTGTTTGTAGCAAGAATAGTCTCTGCAGATTTTTTTTTTTTTTAAAAATAGAGAAAAACCCAAAACAACCTAAATTCCCATTAGTAGAGGCCCGGTGGCATAGTGCCTAAGGCATATGACTGCTAACCAGAAGGCTGGTGGTTCAAACCCACCAGCCACTCCTTGGTAGGAAGATTGGGCAACCTACTTCCATAGAGATAACCAAACCAAACTCACTGCTGTTGAGTTGGATCCGACTCATAGTGACCCCCACTTCCTTGGGTTTTCAAGGTGGCATCTCTACAGAAGTAGATTGCCCAACCTTCCTTCTGAGGAGTGGCTGTTTGAACTGCCAGCCTTCTTGGACACCCAAGGAGGGGTTGCCATGAGTTGAACTGAATTGACGGCAGTTGAGGTTGAGGTTTTTTTTTTTTTTTTTTTAAAGTTCTTTTGAGAGGACTCATTAAGTAAATTGTTTTACCAAACATCCACACAGTGGAATACCATGTGGCCCTGAAAAGAATGTGACAGGATTATGTGGGTATGGAAGATCTCCATGATATATTTTTAAATGAAACAAGGATACTGAACAGTGTGCTTGGTATGATCCTGTTTGTGTATACTTTTTAATAAAAAGCATACACATATGCATGGATATGTGGTATGTGTATATATGTGTGTGTAGATATATATCTGTGTGTATATACACACTTACATATATACACTTATTGACTATCTTGTTCTCTGACACATTTATGACAATAGCAAAAAATAATTACAGAAGGACAAACTGTATGAGTCTGTTATAAAAAGTCAAGGAAAGGTTTACACAGGGAAGAAAATTTTCTTTGCTGGTTACCAGGGATGGGAGAGAAAAGGTGGGAAAATTGCTAGCTAGTTAAGAGACACATATTGATTTGGGTGAAGGGCAAGGCAATATAACAAAAGCGTGTGACCAGCACAATATCACTAAGGAAAAGGAAGACACACAGAGGTGCACAAGAAGTACAAAAAACAAAGGTAAATACTATTACATACACAATATTGCATTATAAGTAATAAACATTAATCTATGGATGGGTACATAAGTAGACAAACAAGATGGTCAGGTATGGGTAGGCAAACAGGAAAATATTCATGACCATATATATATAGGTTTGGCAAATGATACCTCTACATACGTACTTGTAC